ATCTCATAAGATAGGCAAATTTTTTATTCTTCCTTCATCAAATAATTTTGATTTACTCGCCATTCTGTACTGACTATCTGATCGTAACAAATAATAAACATATAAACAATATTAATATGGCAAGATTTGTTGTTTGTAATACCGTTATGGCTGAAATATAGATACTATTTTAAAAAAATTAAATAGCATATGTACCATATAATTAATTTCATTTTGAGTTTACAATTTCTGTTGTGAAAAATGCTATATTTTATATAGGGGCCTGGTCTACGCAATTTGATAAGCTCCAGTAGCATCATTGGGTAGAGGAGCGCAGGGGCTCGAGCCCCCCCCCCTTAAAAATTTAAAGAGCCCTTTTAAAATTCCCCCCCCCCAGCCAAAAAATGCAGATGCCGGATATATTATTCAAATATTATTGTTTATATTAATTTATATTTTATAATATTTATTCCTATCTCTTTCTTTTTAAATATATATTTAATTATTCACATTCATTTACTAAGTTATTTTATCAATTTATTTTGATTTTAAGTTTTCCTTGCCGTAATATTTATCTATTATTTTCAAATTTTTAGTGGTAATATTTAATCATTTTCAAATTTCTAGTCAAATAATAAATATGGACATAAGAAATTTTTTTACACATATTGATGATGATGAAAATCCTAGTCATCGTATAAAAAAGCAACAAATAATTTTATAACATTTTATAATTAGCCTAGAAGAAAGACATATACTTCTTAAAAAGGTATTAAAGATACCTATGATAAATATTTTATTAGATTTATATTCCACCCCTCAATTTTCAATATATGCAAACTTTATTGTGCTAATCAAAAGTTAGAATATCAAAACTGCTATTTTACTAGATGGTTATGGCTAGCATACTCTATCCTAGACAATAGAACTTATTGCAAGATATGTATCCTGTTTGGCCCAAGATATGCTGGAAGAAATTTAGTTAATTAACAGTCTTGTTAAGACTCAATTCGCCAAGTACAAAGATGGTGGAGAAATCTTTGACAATCATCAAAAAACAAATTATCACAAGCTGTGAACTGGATTTCTTCAAATTAATTCAAGGTGGGGATATGATTCCCATTTCATCACATATTGACAAAAATAGGATTAAAATAGCAAAAGAAAATAGATGTAAGATCAAACTAACTATTGAGACATTCTATACTGTGGATTGAGGGCCTAGCATTACATGGCCATTTTGATTCAGGAAGTTTGAATTTCAATAATAGTGATAATGAAAGTAATTTTCGTGGTCTTGTAAAATTTAAGGCATTACGGGATTCTGCATTAATGGAATACCCCAAGCGACAAAATATTTTAAACAGAATTATTTCTGAAACTACTTGTCCAGTATCAAAAAGCTTGTCCAACGAGATGGAGTCTTCGCCATCAAGCAGTAACAGCTTTTATGGAGTTAGAATAGTCGATTATTAATGCTCTTGCTGAAATATCACAATGGCCTGAAAGATATTTCCTCAGAAGCTAGCAAAATTTTGATTCAATACTTATAAAAAAAAAATTTCTCATTAGAATATAATTATTTAATTATACAACTATTTTATGTAATACATTTCAAAAACATGACATTGACTTGATTGAGACGATGAGAATAGCGGAGACAATTTATTAGAACTCAAAGAAATTAAGGCTAATGTTGATGAAGAATTTCATATTATATATGTTATAGTTAAGTCAAAAGCAGAGCTATACGAGTTTAATATATGTCTCCCTCGACTTGCCGCATGGCAAGCTCATCGTCCAAACATTAATATATGGTGAAGAGTAATATAAAATAAATGTCTTTATACCTATTAAATAAATTTATAACCCAAAAATGAATGGTTTTTAATTCATCAGGCAGCACTTACCAATCTGCAGATATTAATTCCACAATAGTCTTCCAAACTTTTTTCAGATGGTGATATAAAAAAAATAAAATATTTAGCAGATTTTTATCATGAAGATGCTAAAGTATCTAATGATGCTAAAGTATCTAATGATGCTAAAGTATCTAATGATGCTAAAGTATCTAATGATGCTAAAGTATCTAATGATGCTAAAGTATCTAATGATGCTAAAGTATCTAATGATGCTAAAGTATCTAATGATACTAAAGTATCTAATGATGCTAAAGTATCTTATGATGCTAAAGTATCTTATGATGCTAAAGTATCTTATGATGCTAAAGTATCTTATGATACTAAAGTATCTTATGATACTAAAGTATCTTATGATACTAAAGTATCTTATGATACTAAAGTATCTTATGATGCTAAAGTATCTTATGATGCTAAAGTATCTTATGATGCTAAAGTATCTTATGATGCTAAAGTATCTTATGATACTAAAGTATCTTATGATACTAAAGTATCTTATGATACTAAAGTATCTTATGATGCTAAAGTATCTTATGATGCTAAAGTATCTTATGATGCTAAAGTATCTTATGATGCTAAAGTATCTTATGATGCTAAAGTATCTTATGATGCTAAAGTATCTTATGATGCTAAAGTATCTTATGATGCTAAAGTATCTTATGATGCTAAAGTATCTTATGATGCTAAAGTATCTTATGATGCTAAAGTATCTTATGATGCTAAAGTATCTTATGATGCTAAAGTATCTTATGATGCTAAAGTATCTTATGATGCTAAAGTATCTTATGATGCTAAAGTATCTTATGATGCTAAAGTATCTTATGATGCTAAAGTATCTTATGATGCTAAAGTATCTTATGATGCTAAAGTATCTTATGATGCTAAAGTATCTTATGATGCTAAAGTATCTTATGATGCTAAAGTATCTTATGATGCTAAAGTATCTTATGATGCTAAAGTATCTTATGATGCTAAAGTATCTTATGATGCTAAAGTATCTTATGATGCTAAAGTATCTTATGATGCTAAAGTATCTTATGATGCTAAAGTATCTTATGATGCTAAAGTATCTTATGATGCTAAAGTATCTTATGATGCTAAAGTATCTTATGATGCTAAAGTATCTTATGATGCTAAAGTATCTTATGATGCTAAAGTATCTTATGATGCTAAAGTATCTTATGATGCTAAAGTATCTTATGATGCTAAAGTATCTTATGATGCTAAAGTATCTTATGATGCTAAAGTATCTTATGATGCTAAAGTATCTTATGATGCTAAAGTATCTTATGATAGCTGAATGCCAACCATAGTATAAAAGATTAACTATGGTTGATATAGTCCCAAAAAATGCTATGGATGCTTTGCATCATTTCATCAAACATCTTAGATTATTTTTCCAATATATTAAAATTATTATATGTATTAGGAACTCTTCCCATTAGTACTGCAACTAATGAGAAAACATTCTCTTCTTTAAGAAGAATAAAAACATACCTAAGAAGTACAACTTCTGAAAGTAGATAGAATGGTTGGGGCTTTTTGAATATTCATAGGCATTTGACACCAAGCACGAATGAGAAAATTGAAAAATTAGCTCAATCCCAACGAAGATTGGATTTTACATTATAAATATATAATAGGCTTCTTAATAATATTATTTGTGCACATTAATTTTTTAATGTGTTATTCGTGAATACTTAGTTATTACATACAAATACAATTATTCCTAAGAAACTTGTGTATTAATTTATATTTCTAACATTTAAATTTTTCATACTTTATACACAAATTTTTAAGGCTCAAAATTTAAATTTCTATTTTGGGTCATTTATTTTATATACTGGTTATATCCACTTATATTTATTTTAATATTCACATTTATTTTATAGTTTTTCATATGCCGTCGGTTATATCCTATTAATATTTTTTAATTAACATTTATTTTATAAATTTTTATATGTTGGTATTTATATTTAATTTTTATAATTCACATTAATTTAAAATTGTGTATTAGAAATAGTTATTAGTCCTAATAAATTTATGCCTGATATTTTTAAATAATAATTTTATCTTAAAAAAATGTATTTACCCCCCCCCCCCTCCTCCCCCCATATCAAATTCCTGCGTACGCGCCTGGCAAAATCATATGGAAGGATAACCTATGATGACTTTATTGCCTTATATATAAATGCAATTCTTTAAAAAATTATATTAAATTTAATTTTAAACTTATCTTGTTTATATTTATCATGGGTAGTGTACACAATATATTATTTTTAATTAAATTGATATATTTTTTAAATATCTTGCATAGAAATGCCAAAAGGAAATTTAAAGGTGAAGCTGAAAAATTAAGAGAAAAATATGCTGCTGGTCTCAAAGCAGCTGGTACTGAAATCAATATCAGGTATTTCTAATACTATTACTTCATGTATAAAAAACTATTATTTTAGGAATATCAACAATTGCCTCCCATTCATATCTACCTGAAACAACTACATTGTCTGCAACATCTTCATTTATTATTGCATCAGTTTAAACATTGCCACACACCTAAAACTATATTATCCACCATTACAGCAGATAAATCATTCACATACCCTGAAAATACATTATCTACAATTACAGCAATTCCATCTTTATTATCGTCACACTTGTCAGAAGCAACTACTTCAATAATGGCTTCAAATATTTCACAAAGTCGATTATTGATATCGGAAACAATTTCACCATGTATAGGAATATTAACGTTACATTCATCTGTAACAATTTCACTTTTAAAAAGCTCCTTCCCAGATAGCCACAAATCGATTCAGGGGATCCAACAGTGTCTCCTTTAAAATTGGATAAGACGCATGAAAATTTTAAGTTGCCTAAACCTCAAGAACTTACGTTTTTAATGCAACATCCTATACAACCCATAAATAGTAAATATGATAAATTATATTGACTAATGGTAATGAGTGAAAAAAAATACTTAGAAAATGGATTACAATAAGACTAATATGCAATTAAGTTAAAGCTATTTACTCTCAATCTGCCTGTGCGAAAACACTTTCACAACAGTCTCAACAAATTTCGACAATGCATTCAGTAATTAAAATACATAAAAATTCAAGAGTACATATCAGTACAGTCGAGGCCCACCTCAGAGCATCAAAAAACAAGTTATTTTATAATTCAATGTGTAAAAATATTAAATGAAAAAAATCGACAAATTTATAACAATGTCCACATAATAAAACAAATATTCGATATAATAAAGTCTTTAGGCAAACAAAACTTACCCTAGATCAAATGCTACTGAAACACTTAGCCACTTTGAAAATTAAAATTTGAATCATTGGAATTTCCTGGAAATGATTCGTATATGATTAGTATTATATCAAAGAATGATTAAAACTCAGAGATCATTTCGAGAAGGCTATTTTAAAGAGCAAACGTAGACAAGAAAAGAAAAGCTTAAACTCTCTGATAAATCAAAATCGAAGGGAAGAGGTTCTCTCATAAACATGTAATCAAAAACCACTGTTAACAAAAATATTAAAGTTGTTCTTGATCAAATCAGGAATTTAATAAAAAAAGAAGATATTAGTTTTATGATCAACAACCAATTGCCTACGATACATATATATAATGGCAAAATAATAGAGTTTTTTGCACTTACAAAAGTTAGAACTCTTCTGGAAAAGAATTTTTTGATATCTTGAATGAATGCTTTTTAAAACATGGAATATGAGAAATATAATTGAAGAATCATTTGATGGTGGTGCAAATATGCGGGGTGAATTTGTTGGGTTGCAAACTCTTATTAGACAAGAGGCTCCAGGTAGTGTGTATATTTGGTAACATATTAAATCTCTGTATATGTGATTTATGTGATAATATTGAAAACAAAAATTTATTTGGATTATTGAACAGACTAGCAACTTTCTTTGGTGAAATAAAAGGATGGATGCTTTGATGAAACAGAATATTTCATCAAGCTAAAATTAGTTGAGAATACTGCAAAAAATAGATTAGATAAAGTAGTGGGCACCTGAAAAAGCCCTGAATATATGGTAAATAGAACTTTATCCCATTAACGGTAAGTGCACTTCAATTTTAATAGATAATAAATCATTTGAGGCAAATACCTCATCAAAGCGCAGTCTTTGATCGATAATTTATATAAATTTAAGACGCTAAGTACATTTATAATATTGGAAATTTTTTAAATAATGGTTGTCATTATATCTTCAAACTAAAAATTTAGATATTTTGTCAGCATGGAAAATGATAGAAGATGCTAAGTTTTCTCTATCATCGATAACTATTACATCGATTCAAAATAAAGCAATTTAGATGGCTTCTAATTTAAATGAAACAATTTCACATTTAAGAGAGTATCTGGGTACAGACTGCTCTACCAAAAAATCGAATAGAACGAGTAAGGAGAATATATAGTGACGAAGGCCAAGATGAATGTCCTCAAGAATCGATTGACCTTTAGGTCGAAATGATCAACTTATAAACAGCTTGTGGGAAGGGTTTTCTACAAATAGAGAGCTTATTTTGAATGTGAAATATTTTCACCTAAGACATTTTGATGAAATAAATAGTAAAGATATTTCTGAAAAGCAAAAACGGGCACAATTGGCAAATATATTAATTGTTAAATTACATAACGAATTATGTTCATTTGCCAGTGTATTCAAGGATTTATGAATTAAATGAAACGGACGATGATATCGTATGTACAAATGAGAAGTCAAATGAAGAAGATGGAATATTATAATATGAATATAAATCAGAGTGTGATAAAAAATTTATCAAGTGTTTAATATGCGTGTATGAAATTCTTAAAAGATACAATATGCACACAAGTGCATATACCAATTAATTTATGGCATATGAATACATTTTAACTTCGTCATTTACGCTGGTTAATTGCGAGAGAACATTTAGTAAATTAAAAATGATAAAAAATAGGCTGAGAGCTAATATAGGCCAAGAAAAATTAGAAGCGTTTTTAATGATGTCAGTTGAACAAGAACTATCAGCGCAGATTGAACTAGAAGATTGTTTATTTGCGCAAAGATTCAAAGTTAATCAGAGATTTATCAACGTTAAAATTATATATTATTTTCTTATATTTAAATTTTATTATATCTATTTATACAATATGATAGGTGTCTGATTTTATAAGTGCAGCAATTTTATTCTCTGTGCAATATTGTATAATTACAATAATTTTATAAGTATAATTAATTGATTTTATATATTGAATATGTATTATTTTATATTTAACATGTGATGTATTTTGATTTATAGTGCAATATCGTTGTAAATCTAAATATAAAATATATATGTACAATGAATATTTTTTTATATGTGCAATGAATATGATTTTAGATGTGTAAATTAAAATAAAATATATGATTATCGTGTCATATTATTCTTTTTTTTTACTAAAAATGTAAATCGTTTGAACTTATTTGCAAAAATAAAGGGAACCCGGTCGAAGGCCGGGAAAAAACGGGCCAAAGGCCAGCGAAATGAGAAATATGGTGGCGATACCTCCTTAAAAATGAGGCAGCTATAAAAAATGCCCACGAGGCCGTAGCACCAGTCCGCCCCTGTAACCCCCAATATTGAACTCCACCTAAAATAATATTTTTTATTTTTATATAGGAAGTGTCTGTGAAATTGTAAAGATTATGTGACTAAATTTGTGTTTTTACTTTTAGGGATAAATTACATTCTTTTTATTTTATATATATATAAGATCATTTGTGTCATTTTATAACAAGGAATCTTTTGATTTTATATGCTCCAATAAGAAATATACCCTTTAAAGATTCGTAGAAAATTTATTTATAATTTTAGGCTAGCCTAAAAATTTGAAATTCTAATCTGATTTCTGCAGGTTTTTAATTGCTATACCATACCAAAATTTCCTATGAAACTATTTAAATGATTAAATAAAATTTACAATTTTAGGGTTGAAAAAAATATTGCCTTGAAACTATGAAATCAAATGGTATTGCTTCCTTACAATCGCATTGGCAACAACAGAAATTAATTCAAGCTGATTCTATGTAATACAATAGAAGGGGCAAGGGAAGTATAGTGGGTAATTTATTAGACTCAAGTGATATTTACAGAAGCCTCCAAATTTTCTAATAGAGGATCCCCTCCCCTATTTTATACTTTTTTAAGCTTGATCATAATTTTGTAATTGTATTGATATTTATTTATTAAAAACGATATAATTTTTTAACCTAGCAAAATAATTAATATATATTTTAACATTTTAGGAATCTACAATACATCAGCGATTTAAAATATTATCCTTGAAAATGCAATTCTTAATGTTACAGTTTAATCTATCGATTCAAAATAACTTTAAACATATATTATGGATATTGTTATTAATATACCTTAATTTAATGACACATCAATATATATATGGACGTTCCAAAGTTTTAGCAATCTCTGGTGAAGAATTCAGTTACAGATATAATGATTGTTCAGAAATGTGGTATCGAAGATATCCTTTATGTGGTTCAGAAGATTCCATTATGCAATCACGCCTCCGACAATCCCCTATCGATTTATCAGACGCTATATACAATGCTAGTCTTAAACATCTTTTATTACGTAATTACCAACTACCATCTGGGAAATGGAGAATTGAAAAGACAAAAACTTCTATAGTTTTATATTCGGATGGCATACTACCGTTTATAGAAATGCCTCAATCTTTCGAGTTCAATCAGGCTCATTTCCATTGGGGCTCAGGTGGGAGGAGTTTGGTTGGTTCGGAACACTCCATAGACGGTAAATTTTTCCCTTTAGAAGTACATTTAGTCCATGTAAATAAACTGACCAATCAAATAGCGGTTTTGGCTGTTTTATATGAATTAAGCAATCCTAAAACGGATAAAGATAACCCGAAGCTTGATCCTTTATTAGAAATAATAGAACTAGATATAAATAGCAAAGAATTTAGTCGTACTGGTGGAACTCCAATATTATATATGCGTAATCAATTTATCCTGGAAAACCTGCTTCCCGAAAATTGGAATACATATTATAGATACATTGGATCTTTGACTACACCACCTTGCACGGAAAATGTCATATGGACTATCATTAAGGAAAAAAATTATTTGTCTAGGCGTCAACTATATTTTATCGAGAGAATTCAGCAATGTGATTCAAAATTACGAACCTGTTTTGCTAGAAGTTCTATTGGCCCTAACCGTAGACCTTTACAAAGTCGTAATAATCGCCCAATATATCTCTCTTCTAACGCAAATATTTCAAAACTATCATGTTCGTTATTTATTCTATCATTAATATTATATATAAATAATCATTATTATATGATATGAATATAAAATGAAATTTCATTCTTCATTATCATATTATATATTAAATGATCGGCGATGAGGTTTTCTTTTATATTATATATATTGAATGAATCATCTTCTAAATAAAATATGGATTTCATAAAATAAAACCACAGGCAATTTTAATCGCCAATCACGACACCCTCACCGAAAGAAATTATATTTCATGCTTAAAAAAAATTAAGTATAGTTTAAATACAAATTTGCACTTTATATTATTCAAAATAAAATATAGATTTTGATCAATATTATATTCTAATCTTTATAATTATGAGCTTCCGCATTTTTTTTGAATGTTTTCTCATCAAAATCTCAGATTTTTTACGTCAAATCTTTTACTTTGTACTAATTTGATCAAATATATTTTGGGATTACAATATATTAGTTTCTTCGGATCTTAAAGCTTTCTTTAGTTTTTTTTTAAATTCATCGTTTTTTTGCCGCCTTACCTGTTTTAATATGTTTATTTATATTTTAATTTGTTTTAAAAATTTCATGGTTTTTATATTTTAATATAGTTTTATATGTTATTTAAATAAATAAAAATTGTTATAGATTTTTTGAAAAAAAAATTCTTTTTCTTCGGTAACAATTTTACGATCATAAAATTATTTTTAGAATTTTATTTATTGTCATAAAATAACTCATAATTAATTTTTAAATATCAAAGATGAAGATTATAATGATTTAAAATTTAGTCCGATGCATATATTATGATTATTCCGAAAAGTAATTCCAAGATAATTCCAATTTATTAAAAATTAATCTTTATTTTTCTTTTTCAATTTTTATCTTTTAAATTTACTAAAATACAGCGTATCAACACAAAATTTAACGGGCACCTCACGAAGTCATAAAATGATAAGGTTTCAGACAAGAAAAGTAATTAAATTATACCCTGGAAAATCAATAAAGCGAAGGATACTTTTTCTACAATAGTTTAAGGATATTCCTGGTAGATAGGGCTGGGAACCAATAATGGTTATATATATCATTGGGAAAAACTAAATATAACAAATTTTAAACTTAGGATTCAGATCTTCCTTTATGGAACCAACAAAGTATTAAAAATATTTCTGATCAGAATAAAAATATTTGAAATTCATTTTGTGATTAAATTATTTTAATAATATTGATATTTTAAACAAATATTTATTCAATATTTTGTAATATAAAATTTATATTCATAATATGGCCATGCAGATATATATGGTGGCCCTGTTGAACCACTAGGATTTTATCCAATGCTCTTTTATATTCTTTATTTTGATAATCTCTAAGATTATTCCATCTTGCCTTTAAATCTTCATCAAAAAAATATATAATAGAGGTAAATAAATGACCATATTGTTTGCTAAATTTAATTATGATTATCATTGTAAAAACCAAAAGAAAAAAATATTAAGCTTAATTTACTTTTTATCTAAATATCTACATGAGATAATATAGTATAAATACTAATAACAATAGATAGCATTTATATTTTTAGGGTGATTTTTATTAAAACAACAAACTAAAATATTAGAATTTTAAAAATATCCTATTTAGTTATTTTTACCAAGGACTAGAAGATAGATAAGAGGAGACAAATGGAAAAGTAAAATATGATAAAATGCTATTATAATTAATTCAAAAAATTCTATGACTATTCTCACTTATTTAAATTAAAAATTTGAATTAATTTCCATACATTATATTATAAATAAGAGCACTAGAAGAGTCAATAATGTATATCATGTACATAGGCGTATCCAGGATTTTCCTAAGGAAGGGGGTGCCCGGCCTTCGGCCGGGTTATCTTAGTTTATATATACAAATATTTTTACAAGATAGGAGGTTAATTTTAATTAAAAAAAAATAAGCCTGGAACAAATATGAAATATATTTTTATTAGTTTATATAAAATATAATAAATTACTTGTATATACATTAATATAAAAGCATGGTAATAATTTATTCCAAACAAGTATAAGAAATTTATTTATAAAAAGGAAGTAGACATATAGTTGATATTCCTATTATATAGAATTAGTTACAAAATACTAGATAAAATTCCACTTTTACAGACATATTTGACAGTTAGAGAATATATTATAGTTAATATTTTAACAAATTTTACTAATCAATGCTCTTGATAATAAATATAGCAACAATTTGCATTCAATTATTTAATGCCATCTATTTATTTCAAATAAAAAATATATTAAAAATTAATCTTCATATTATTCATCCCACAATGTCTTTCAAAGATATTTTCTGATGTCCTTATCAATATTTTATAGTTTTCTGTAAGATATATATTTCCCTATATTGGTAAAAATTACTTGATTGTCATATGATAATTGATAAAATTAGATATACTGTAAATCTACGACATATAATATTCCACTGTTTGTATTGTCCTTTCATTTTTTTTATTTAATTTATGATTTAATTTTATAGTTTTATAATTATATTTACTTTTATTAAGATAAATAAATTACAATTACTCACTTTATAAAAAATTATATTTGATATATTATATTATTTTGTAATTTAATGGATCTATTAATAATTATAATACATTTCACTTTTGTATTAAGACTTATCTTTGGCTTATATTCCATTTCTTAAAAAACATTTTTAATTTACTTTCCTTATATATAAATGCTTTTTTCCAAAAATGTATAAATGATGATGAATAGTTTTATAAAAAAATATCAACTTTTATATTCATTCTTTCAAATTATTGTTTAAGATATATGCATACATTTTTGGGGTTCAGGGAATGGGGGGAGGACTAAGAGGGATATTTTTTATTAGCTTAAAATGATATTCACAAAGAGGGATAAATTTCTGAAGGGGGGAGGGGAAATTCCCTTGCCCCCCCCCCCCCCTGGCTACGCCTATGATCATGTATTATAATGTTATATTTATAAAGTTTTAATATCTGCTTAACAAAACTGCTATCCTAGATTACTCCAAAATTGTGCTTTCTTGTTTGAATCTTTATAATCATCATCTATTTTGTCTTATAACATAATTTAATTCATTATATTGAGAAAATTATATATGATTATATAATACAAGACAAGCTAGAAAATCATTAATGAGGTTTAGCATAAAATAGTTAAAACTTATCATGTTAAAGCATCTTTAATGATATTAATTACATATTAGAATTATCTTATAGATTATTAGTTATTATAGATTTATCAGTTATAACATGTTAGGGAATTTGTTTATTGGTATTAATCATACATAAGAACTACCTGTTAAATAATTAGTTATCGGATTTAATTATATAAATTTTTATGTTAATAATTATTTATTTTTTGATAAGAATATTTGCACATGATTTTATGAGTTAAAGTTTAATAAAACTAATAAAGAATTATGATGAGTGGCTGTGCATTATATGCAAGAAGATATTTTTAGGGCAAGAAAGAGGAAGAGTGGGTTAAATGTATTCATTGTGAAGTAATTATGCTTAATGTATTAATATAATGATGTATTTTATTTATGTAAATAAAAATTATAATTTTCTCATTTATAAATTAATAATGACTATAGGATAAAAGATTTTTAAATTAATGAATGCTTAAATTATTAAAATTACCATTTTAACAATTAGATAATTATAATAATAATTTATAAAATCATTACGATAGTTGTTAATTTTATATTGAAATAAGAATGTATAACAAAAGGATAATTAAGATATTCATTTATAAAATATTATGATTAAGTAGATGACGATAAATTTAAACGTTAATACTAATTAAATTAGTGTATAATTAAATTTTTATATATCTAAAAAATGAAGAAATATTAACGTAGGTATTTTACAAATATTTCTTATTCTAATATTTCATCTTTATAATAAAATTCTTAAATAATATATTGTCTAATTAAGTGTATTAAACATCATAAATTTATAAATTGATGAATGATTAGATATATGAAATAATTATTTTAACATGTTGATAGTTAAGATAAAATTTTATAAAATTATTAAATTAAATAGATAGTAGTTAATTTTATATTGAAATAAGAATGTTTAACTAAAAGTTAATTAAGATATTAATTTGTAAAATATCATCATTAAATAGATGATGAGAAATTTAGATATAAATACTAATTGAAGAATTTTTAAATAGAATCCTCTATTATATATTATTACCATAATGTATTTAACAGAATTGTCTATTATATATTATTAGAATAGGTCATAATTTTCTTTTATTTTATTTTCTATAAATTACATTTTATTTTTATATCCCCCTTTTACATAAAACAATTTTCCTTATATATCTTTTTTTAACAATAAAAGAATAGCCAATTATTTAATATCTAAATACAAATTGATATCAAAAAATGTAATGTTAATATGATATAAAAAAAGGTTAATATAAAATAAAAATTATATCATCGAAAGGTATAACAAACAAAATCAGATTATATAACATTCAACCCCCCAAAGAAATCCGTCTTATGTATTCCTTGGATCTGTTGTGTGGTAACGCCATTGACGTTCATGATCGTCAAGCAATACGCCACCCATGTTTATGGTGCAGTCTTCTTTTCAAACCGAACGATGGCTTGGTAAAGTATAGGCAGCCCATAGCTAATTTCCCAATCGGATTGCTTGTGCATGGTATTGGACATCTAGATTGCTCTCGAGCAAGATTTATTTTGTCCTTCAGCCAGCCATCCAATTTCCGAGTCGTTGCATCGATCTTGGCACACGGAACTCTCCTTGAAGGTATGATCTTAGGCACGGCATCGGGCTTCAAGTGAACTTTCTCTTGTCTGACCATTTTGGGTTTGTAGGAGTAAGTTGATTCGAGGTCTTTTTTTGTTGTCAAGATTACCTTCTCGAGATCATTCTCTACGTTACCCACTAAGAACGTTTTTAATATGTTGTTGAAGGCGTGGAGCCACATACTCCCTAACAAGGGGATCTTATCACAATCCACCACTATGGCCTCCAGAGTTTGTGAGTTACCTTCAAACTTAACGTTCACATTGACCAGACCTAATACCTTGATGGCGCTGTCGTCATACCCTGTTAGTTTCATATCCGTCTTACGCATCGTGGTTTTATGCCTACAGTCTTAGCGGTATTTTTCGGAAGTATTGTGTACCTTGTACCGGTGTCTATTTGCATCAATGTGGGTATGTTCTTGATCCTCGCCGTTACGTTGTACGCGTCATATCTGGTATCGTTGACCCCCAGATTGTGCACATCAAGATTCTGAAGTTTATATTCTTTAAGGTCTGTGTTTAAGGCGTCGTCATCATCGATTACTTCGATGTTCATAGCATTGTTCGTATTCAATTGACAATCACGATCTTTGTAATCAGAAGATCTGTTGTAGGTATTATTGTCATTTTTGTCCTGGTTGGGCCTCGACGAATATTTCGGAAAACCGTTAATATTTTGAGGGTTGTGTCTGTGCTGACCATGACGGGGATAGTTGGTTCGGTTATCACCTCTATAGCAGTCATCCCGTCGATCAGGGCTTTGATGATGGTCACAATGATAGTCGTGGCGATTGCCATGGACAGTGTACCCGATATTGTTGTATCGATCGTCGTAGTAGTTATCGTTGCGATTGTCGAAACGGTTGCGGTTATAGTGACAATTATCGTAGCTTTGATCAAAACGATTGTCGTGGAAGTTGCCATGCCGTCCGTCGAATCGTTTGTCGCGACCATTGTCGTAGTGTATCCTGTAACGTTCATCAAATCGTTTGTCGGGCAGTAGTCGTAGCGTACATCGTAACGTTCATCGAAATGCTGTCCGTGTCGATTTTCATTTATGAACTGGGGTTGCTTGATAAGAGATTTACC